AAAACGTTGGTACGCGCGGTTGCTCGATAGTGGGACCCTTGTTCCAGGAGGTGAGATTCAAGGTCCACGACCCCAAGGCACACTCCAAGGGCGGCACTCTGGAGAATACGGTGAATGGTGGCCGAGGTGGCCCCCAGCCCCATGGACCCGGCCCGGTACCCGGCGGTCCTGGCGGACCCGGCGGCGGTGGTGGCGGAGGCGGCGGCGGCGGCGGAGGTGGCGGACCTCCAGATGCTGGCGGCGACCCAGAGGCGGCCGTGCCAGCACATCTATTACATCCGGGCAAAGTAAAAAAGGTGAAAATCCCCAATTATAAATATTTAAATATCAAATATCATATATATTTTAATGAGCATCCATAAAGTGGGAAAGTAAAAGCATGCGAAAAATCTTCGCATAGCATAAACGAATTCTTTTTTTGTATATTTGCCCTATATATAATGTATAATATTGATAAACCTTCTATTATATCCTCGCAGGATATCAACAAACTGTTAGGCATTACGCCTTCGGATATTGACAAATATTCGCGCATTGTGTTTCCCGTGTGCTTTGTTTGCTTCAATCTGATGTACTGGATTATCTACCTGCACGTTAGCGATGTCGTTGCCGATGATCTTGTCCTGCTCGGCGAGGAATAAGCGGCCATGCCCCCTAAGGGTGGCGCGGAGCCGGAAACGGAGCCGGGCCGGAGGCAACAAGTGAGACAACAGCGCACGAGAGAGTTAAACTGTGCAACGCGCTGAAAAATAAAGTAAAAAACAAAACAAACAAAAAAACAAAAAAATCATTAACCAAAAGTAATTTTAACTAGAGATATGGTAAAATGCAAAAGGCAACATATTATTGTTAAATACTAATAAAAATAATAATGATAAACCAAAATGGATGGAAATGACACACATATTATGGACGAGAGCAAAGAATATTGTTAAATAGATTTACGCAAACTAAAAAAAAAATAAGGAAAATAAATAATTATATAGAAATATATAAGCATTAATAAGAAGAGGAGAATGCAAAAGAACACGATGAATAATCAAAAGCAGCAGCGTTTAGCAAATAGTAGAACAAATACAAACTGAAACAGCCGAAGAAGCAGCAAATTAATTAATAATTATTAATAATTAAACGACAGTAAAAAGAAAAAAAAAAAAAAAAAAACGATAAGAATAATGAAAGAATTAAGTAAAAGAAAAACGGAACAAATAGCAAAAATTAATACACAAAAAAAAAACAAAACAACAATGAAAGCACAGTCAAACTAATTTATTTCCGACTCACATAATTCCAATTTTAAGGACACCCAATGCAATTAAATATATAGAAAACGAATCATATAAACAAGTTAATAAATCAAAATGGAAAAAGTTAAAGAAGAATAGCAAATTATTTGAATAGATTTTATTGTTTCTCAATTCATTTTCAAGTTTGAATGCCATGTATGTGAAAGCCACGCAATATCTACAATATCTAAGCCTGCCTCAATTAGTTTATGGTTTAAGTCATTTGTCCGTTTCAAAATCAGAGAGTAGGAATATGAATATTCTGCAATACTATATTTGATTAGCTAGCTCTACAAATAAGTCTGTCATTTTTACTACTACTTCTCGAAAGAGAGACTAGAATATTGCTGTATGTCCGTCCGTCTGTCTGTCTTTATGAATGCCAATCATTTCTAGAAAGCCTATTTTCTACTCTGAAAACTAAAATCCTCTCATCATTTCTTCACTACATACCTAGACTCTCTCATATTTAACTTAAAGTCATGGCATCTGGAGTGCATCTATTACGAGGTCAGGTTATATTCCAGTCGAGACCAAGCCGACTAGAGCTGGCACACACTTACTTATTTACTTTGCCATTACTTCCCCTAAGCAGACAGTCAAATGGTCTTCCTTAATTTAGGCAAAAGAAAACAAACTTAATTTAGTTTATGGTTTATGAAACCCCCTTATATATTAAATGCACAGCTCATCTACTATAATGCCCCTTTAAATATATGTGAATCTACTATGTTTCTTGATTTCTCAAAACTGAACACTTTTTAGCGCTTCCAAGAAAAATGGCCAAATTTTGTAGGAAATGTCGAAGAACAAATTTTGCAAACTAATCAAATCATTTAATTTAAACTACTCGACCATAAATAAATATATATATATATATAAAAGCTAATATATATATATATGTGAAAAGAAAAGAATTTTTAAATAATTTGCACATGAAGAAATTATACAGAAACAAATTACTTTCAAGGGCACCTTTTGTAAGCGAAAGGCATCGGACAGATATATATATATACAAAAAATAGTTGATATAATTCGATTTTTAATACAAATTGATTTTAGTTTTACCAATTTTATATAAAGACAAAAACACATGAACTAAGAGACATATTTTAATTGCACTCTAAAACTAAATCCAATAGATGAGTTACGAAACGAAGGAAAGAACAAAAATAGCGATATATACATATACGTATATATATGTACACAAATTTGAATGAAAAAACTGCCTAAACAAGAACTTAGACACTAAGCAACAAACAAAAACCAAATGAAATACTAAGTATAAGGTGTTAGACGTTAGTTTAATTGGGGAGATTTATAAAATATTTATTTTCCACAGAGGAAGAGAAACAATTGTAAATAAAACTCAAGAAACACACACACACACACACACGAAAAGTAGGAGCAAAACTTCGCAAAAAGTAAGTTAAATTAAATTAAAAAATATATATAAAAAAAAAACAACAATTAAAACAATTAATTAAATATTAGTTAATGTAATTACAGCTAGTCAAATACAAACATGTTCAAGCAGTCAATAAAAAGCGCTAAATCTAGCTGATAAACAAACAAACATAAACAATGCACCATTTAAGCTTAGTAAAAGACAAATACAAAACACACACACACACACTAATACACATACATACGAACACATATACACACACATACATACATACATATATTTGAAGTTTTGGTAAAGTTCCTCAATGAAATTTTTCATTTTAGTTCAAAATGTGAATTTTAAGTTTGTGAATACCAAAACCTAGCACAATACTGACTAAATTTAATGATAATTAAATACTATATCAACGTAACGTTTTAATTTCTTAGCTATGTTAAGTCGAAGCTGAGGCAGCGCAGGTTTTTTGTACAGTTTAGCTGAGAGTTATATATTGATAGATATATTATATATAGCTAATGCTGAGGTATACACCATATGAGTAGCAACTAAAATATTTATGTATATGTATTATGAGCATAACTATTATATAAATACATAACACACACAGACACACACACATACACTAACACACTCACACATCTACATATTTATATGAATGTATGGATGTACTTTATGCAATGAGTATATACAATAACATAACGTATTTAAGCACCTATATGTAGCACGAGTTTTTTATATGTAAACCAAAACAAAACAACAAAAAAAAACAAAAAAAAAAAAACGTGAGAAGAAATAAACAATTAATTTTATATAGACTATATGCAAAAAGTACTCCCATAATAAGGTACACTGGCAGTTATAAGCAAACAACAAAAATACACAATTCTAGGCGCAAGACTGTCGATAAAATGAGGAATATATAAAGTATATATATAGATCATGGCATATATATATATATTAATCTACACAGTCAACAATGAATGAAAGGAAATACTCTATATATATATATACATACACTTAACCTAAAACATACCCTAACTAATAATAATCTGAATGTAACAACAACAACAACAAGCGAAAATTACTTTATTAACTTTCTAGACAGACAAACACACACACTCCAACACACACACACACACTAATACACTCGTAAAAGTGTAACCAATTGATGAAATTTTACCTAGATTTTTGTATTGAACCAGTTGAGCCAGGTGGTACTTAGCTACTTAGGATTTGACCTAACAAAATAAAAAAGCAACTGCAATTGATTTACACCAATAAATAGAAAAAATTAATGAGATAAGAAACAGCAAAGTTAGTAGAAGCAGCAAACACAGTGAAACAAACAGAACTCAAATTTAAGCTTAGACACACAAACACACACAGAATTTATTCAGAACACACTCACCCACATACACACACACACACACAGACTTAACTCGACATCAAGTGAAATCGGTGATAACATGAATATATATAAGTATAACTGGGCATATACTATATATATATATTTTGTAGCTATACAGGTGTCGGAATTCAATTATATATATACATATATATATACGTATGTATATAACCGTGCGAAAAAATAGTTAAATCAAAATGTTTCTAAATTGCGTTAAGTGCGTGTTATGTGAAAGGTTTAACTGTAACGATAACAACAGCAAACCGATTACAAAATCGATAACAACAACAAATAGCTGCTCAACGGTTTCGGAGCGTATTTCCAAAAAAATAAACTTTAGTTATAAATGAAGAAGAAGAAAACAAACAAAAAATAGCTGAGAATTTTTAAATAAACAAAACTAATTAAGTTAATATATTTACTTTTCGTATTCTTTTTTACTCTACACCTAGTTAACGGTATCATTTGTCGAGAATCGAAAATTGAAAACATTTAGTTTGGCTATAGTGAAAATTTTTTAAATGGAAAATGTTTAAGAATATTTATAAAAACAGCAAACAAAAAAGGGAAAAAGAGGAAATAAATCTAAAAGCAAAAAAGGGCAAAGCATTTAGGACAAATAATGACACAAGCCCCGCAAAAATATACACAACAATATATATATATATATATATAAATATATATATATATATAAAATTAAATATAAAAAAATGTTTGAAGCATTTTTGGTGCCGTTTTTTTAGAGAGCGGCACCAACACACACAAAACAAGAAACAAAAAAAAAAAAAAAAAAAAAGATTATGATAAATATGTATACATATAATGAGAGTTGTATGTGCATGATGTAACAATTACATCATGTATGTGCGTAATGATGTATAAATACAAATTGTATGTATATTATATATGTATGTATGATGGTCTCAACAAAATGAAATTCTAAAGTATATAGATAAGCAAACGAAAAACAGTTAAGAACTTAAGGCATTTAGTTAAAGAAGAATAAAATCTAAAACACACACATATACACACACACACACATAAACGCACACCCTTCATTAAAAGCGCACCAAAGAAAAAAAAAAGGAAAACAAATTTTTTAAATGCAAACCAAATATATAATAATAAAAAACAATTATAATTCTTTAAAACATATATAGAAACAATATAAAATAAAATTTAAAAAAAAAAAATCAATTGGATAATTGCACAAAATAAACTGCAAAATGAAATTGAATACTCAACACACATGCATTAACACACACATACACACACACACATACTTATGGTTGTACATCTTTTTGATTACCTTTCAGTTGAGCACAAAGTTTAGAATTATAAATAATTATACAACTTAAGTCTTGTTAACTAAATGTTTAATTTGATTTGTTGCTCAATTATTGTTAACAGCATACCATCCTTAAAGATGAAGAAGAAGAACAAAAAACGATGCAAAATCCTTAGCACAACTCGCTGCATTTTTGTAGTTTTCTTTCAAATTTTCTTCAAACTCTTTCACATCCATCTTGAGCTGCCATTAACCAGCTGATAAAATGTATCTATTGTTATTATTTTGTTTATCCGTCCATTAATAAAGTTCCTAATTGCAATAAATGAACGATTTGTTATGATTAACAGCAGTCAGCGAGAAAAACTCGAACTCTCTAACTCTAACTCTAACTCAATCTCAACTCAACTCCCACGGAGCAGTCAATTCTCAATTTGTCTTATGATCACTTTTCAGTTTCTCTCATCTCATCTACAGCTCGAACTCTCGTCAATTATATTTTCAAAACTCTCTCTCTCTCTCTCACTCTCGCTCACTGATCATCTACGTTTGGTTATTTCCTCCCGATGCACGTTTTTGTTGCTCAATCAATAAACAATCCAGCATAAATACCCCAGATGAAATCGTAGTTAAGCCAGCATTATGTAACTGTTCAATGCATAAAAACAAAATCCAGAAAAGAAAAAAAAAATGATAAATATTATAATGAAAAATAATTTAAAAAGTAATGAGTATGTAATGATTGATCACTGATCACAAATTTTGACTGTGTTAATTTCGTTATATAAATAAAACTAAAAACAAAACAAAAATTAAAAACAAAAAGGAAACAAAATAATAATATAATGAAATATCTATAGCGTATAAAGAACAAATAAATACACACATAACAACACGCAATAAATGTTACGGAAAGAACAAAAACAAAAAGAACCTATTAACTTAAGTTGAATGCTAAATGAAATGCGTCAAGTCAAGACAATGGGAGAACATCCAAAACCAAAAGCAAAAGCAAACAAAAAAAATGAAGATAATTATTATAATATTGCAAATGAAGCGAATACGAATAAAGATATGAAGAAAAAAATTATATTGGAAATTGTTTTCTTCACAAATTATCAACACATGTTTCTGAAAACCTAACTGGAAATTCTTTGGCAGAGTCGGTACACAAAATATTCGATTTTGATAACACAAAGGTCGCTGTTTAAGCTGAAACTTAAGAGGACAACTCTACGCTACGATTGAGGTGATAAAGACGTTATCGAAGGATCAACTGAACAAGATCACAAAAAGTGATTATTTTCGATATGTATATAAAATGGGAATGGCTTACAGCTTAAAGCTTCAGAATCTTATCATTGTTCTTGAGCATCCTCTATAAACTATATAATAGAATCCCGATTGATATATTTTATTTCAAGTTCTTTATATTGCTTACCTACTACTTTCACGCTTCAATAAAAGCTCGAATATTTTTTACTGTTTTGAAGTGTTAATTTATTGATTAATCCATTAAACAGAAGTTTTGCTTATGACATGAACTTTAATTGTTTCACTGGTATATTTAATTTATATTTATGTCATATACATATATACTTATATATGTATATATATATATATATTATTATTTATATGAACACTAAGAGAGTTGCTCATATCCGAGTATTTTAACTAGATGATTCGCGAAATTTGAATAGGCATTTCAGGTATAGTATAAACCAATCAAATATATTTGAACTAAATTGCTAACACATTGAACTAATTGATGAAGACCACTTGTTCTTCTTCTTTTTTTTTAATAACAGTGTACAACAATATACAGTACCGAGCAAAAATGAGTGAATGTTTCACAACTTTGACTTTCATCA